AAATAAGATATTTTACATAGTTACATAAAAAAATGCAATTTCGCAAAACCAGTTTATTAATATTAAATGATTACTACAAAACGATATTATTTTCACAATAAGTTTCGTGAGTTTAAAAATTAAATTTAAATCAAAAATACAAACTTGTAGTAAAATAGCATGTCTTTAGACATATTCACAAAACTTGTGTAAATTTACCATAATATATACAGGGTTGTACACCACACACGACACGGAGTATTGTAGCTAAACGACTAGGTTTTTACAAATTGTAAGTTTTGGGTTCGTTGAAGGACTATTAGAGCTACAATTTAAAAATATTTTTACAAGATACAGAGTGTCCCAAATAAATAAAAAATATCAAAGTTGTATTTTTTTAAATGGAACACCCTATATATTATTACATTTTTAGTTTCTTCGATTAAAATAAAGGTAAATTTGATTAAGGTTTATTACACTTAAACCTTACCGTTTTTGAAATATTTTCAATTTTGTGAAATTGCAGTAAAAATGTTAAGGCTTCATTTCTTCAAGGGTATCAAAGTTTTTAATACTAAATATTTACTGAAGTTTATTTATTGATCAGTTATTGTGTTGCAATAATAAAAATAATACTACCTCATACAGAGTGTCTAAAAATTTATTTTAAATAATTTCTAGCTTTAAACGGAAATGACTTGTTTAATTTAAATGAAACGTCCTGTATATATTAGGAGAATTAGATGCACAATTTAATTGTCTATCAAATTGTATTATACCACTTTTTACCTATCTCTTCAAGTTTCCGTAGAAAATGCATTTTCTTGTAATATAGAACTCATTTATCAATATACCCATGGAATACTGACATTTTAGATTATTTTTAAAGATGTACCAAATTTTTAAAGAGTACAGATACTAATATTGTCGATATATTTTGTTTATTTCATTAAAAAATAAAAAAAAACTGTTTAAATATTTGTTAAAGAGGACCAGTAAATATGATTCCAGTATTCAAACCACATTAATTGACTGTTTGCGTTGATTAATAATAATTGCTCCAAATACTAAAAAACTGAATTATGTATGTGTATTAGACAGTGTGGTAAAAAGTAACACCTTAAAAATTATATTTAATTTTTTGACAAATGCTTATTTATAACAACAGAGACGTTCATTTTCATAACTTATTATTATATTGATTTCTGATTCAAATCCACATTTATTTAGAATAATTTATTAACGAACACAATTAAGTATGTAGTTAATTAGTATTTGGGCGGAAATACTGGTGGTATATTTAATTAATGGTATACTCTTTTATAAAGATTTAAATAGTTTTTTTTTGCATACAAATGGGCTAGTAATATTATCGTTTTACTAAAAACGATAGTATTACTAGCCTGTACATTTTGTACATTTGTTGTTTTAAAAACAATCTAAAATGTTATAAATGAGGTCTAAATTATAAGAAAATGCATTTTCTACGAAAACTTGAAGGAATAGGTAAGAAGTGGTATAATACAATTTGATAGACAATTAAATTGTGCATCTGGTTCTCATAAAATATAGAGGGTGTTCTATTTAAATTAATTAAGTTATTGCCGTTTAAAGCTAATAATTATTTAAAATAAATTTTTAGATACTCTGTATAAGGTAGTATAATTTTTATTATTGCAACACAATAAGTGACCAATAAATAAACATCAGTAAATATTTAGTATTAAAAACTTTGATATCCTCGGAGAAATAAAGCCTTAAAATTTATACTGAAATTTCGCAAAATTGAAAATATTTCTAAAACGGTAAGGTTTAAGTGTAATAAACCTTAATCAAATTTACCTTTATTTTAATCGAAGAAACTAAAAATGCAATAATATACAGGGTGTTGCATTTAAAAAAATAGAACTTTGATATTTTTTATTTATTTGGGACACTCTGTATCTTGTAAAAATATTTTTAAATTGTAGCTCTAACAGTTCTTCAACGAACCCCAAACTTACAATTTGTAAAAATATCATCGTTTAGCTACAATACTCCGTGTCGTATGTGGTGAACAACCCTGTATAGTAAAAAATAACGCCACGTCACGTGACTTCTTGTAAAGCTGATGCGCATTAAGTGTTCGATTGAAGACGTAGTTAGGAGGAAAGACGAACAACAGTTCAGGAGAAAGTCTCAGAGCGTGGGTGAGTAGTGTTTTTATAATTTAAGGGTAAGTATATTATATTAATTATGTTTATATGTAGTTTCTGTAAATATAAAGCCAGCCCTCTTAGAAAAAATCTCCATTTGTTATAATTATTTGTATTTTAATTTTAGCGATTTTTTATGTAAACATATTTGTTCCATGATCTCTTTATAATATCAACGCGTCTCAAGTATTATTTATTCTATCGACTTTGTTTCGGAGGACAAATTTAATAGATATATTAAATTTGTTTAATATAGAGTAGAGGACTCTATATTATCCGTAGTCTCTAAGTTGGTAAGTTGAATGTTTTGATTAGATACCTTTTTCTTGCAAGTTTCTTTTATTTTGTATTTAATGGAAATTTTGTTCCAATTTTGGTTAGACTCATAATTCCAGTAAGGTTTTTTTAGACAAGAAGAGATGGCAATGAGTATCTTACATACATAAGTTTTGTTTTGTGACGTTTTATTAACCTTTATAATAAATATTATAATTATACGTGTTTTTTTAAATTTATTAATATTTAGTTAGCTTTATAAGTTTACAAAAGTAATTATAAATTCACTATAATAAAATGTTTAAATTTGTTGTTACTCTATAGTAATAGTACAAGAAGTTGGCGATTTTATAAGATAAATTTACAATGAATAAGTAAATTTACTATGAGATACACATTTTTTACACAAATTCACAATGAATATTGGTGAATATAACGATATATTATAAAATATTTACATACTGGCCACACACAAATTAGCCATAGAGCGATTTTACAAAACAAGTTGTAAAACTAAAGAACCGATGGTACATTTACTACAATAATCTGTGGCAAGAAATAACCATCAATATTGTTATTAAATTCACAAATTAATTTTTTCAATGTAGAAAACATTTTTTTAAATATTCAATTCTAACGTAATCAGTAGCGTGCCGTGGGTAAAAGGGTGGTGTGGGTGAACTATGTTGAGGGCGCCGGGTACATGCAGAGTAATTCAAATTGCCGAATTCAAGGTGTTCAGATTATGGTTCATTTTACACGATTGGGGCGCTTGGATTATAGGATTATACAGTACTTCGGATTATAGGGTTTGTATTGGGATGTATTTATTCATACATTATTACATTACTGTACTACTTGGGAAAAGACGAACAAAAAATAAATCTATCTACTTAATTAAAATTTTAAGCGTCTTGTTTTTACAGACTTAAGTTTGTTTAATAACTTATCATAATCGATTAATTGCGCTTTTTCCAATTCGATACTAAGTAATGATAAGTTGTTTGTCCTTTCCGGAGTCATTGAACATCTTTGGAAATTCAAAATTTTATTTAACCTGCTAAATGATCTTTCTGCTCCAGCCATGTTAGAGGGTATGGTGAAAAATATTTTTAACAAAACAGTGAGAGCAGGATATGAGACATCTAAATGGTTTGTCATAATAAAAGGAAGAATTTCTTCTGTCAGAAATCATGTCTAAGCTCTACAAGTAAGTTACAAAGTATTTGGTATTCATCTATAACATCTTTTCCATAAAATAATTGAAGATCCATTAAGCACTTGATATTTTCTTCACAGTTCTTAAAATCCACTAAGCAAGAAAACTTTTGACACAGTGAATTAAAATCAGAAAATCTGTTACACAAAGTTACAATAAAAACGTTTAAAACAGTGTAATAGACAGAAATTTTAAATCTGTCTTCGGCGCTTTCAATAACAAAATCCTGTGGCTTTTCGTCGTGAAATGTTTTTGTTCTCCTAACTCGTTTAATGGCAAAATCAATCGAAATTTTTGATTTAGTAGCAAGTTTTATGGCATCTTCCTTTTAATCTTCCTTCACTAGGGCGCGTCACTTAGTCAGAGGGTGTAGGGGGCAATCGCCCCCCCGTGCCCCCTATACGGCACGCCACTGAACGTAATGTCACCGTACACAAACTCATCATGAGTTTTATGTACGATGGTAATGTGATCAAAAAGAAATTAAATTCTTTTTGCTAAAGTTTGTCTCGCGAGGGTAGGCACTATTTCGACAAATGACATCCAAAGCAGCAATAGCAAATTGAAATTCTAAAAGGATTTAATTCAGCGGCAAAGCTTCCATTGATGCTGGTAATGCGTCGCATCTCTTCAGAATATTGTAATATGTTTTTATTTAAAAAAGTCATTGAGATCTCCTATCACAAATTAATATTCTCAGTTAATTTATTCAAATAATTAAATTCAATTTCAATTATTTAATGTGAGTAATGGTCGAGCTTTATGGATAACGCCAAGACAAAATAAAATAAAAAATATCATTGCGCTGACCGATTCTGAGTGCGGCTGTAAAATAAGACTAATTTTGCAATTATCCTTCAGTTCTACGGAGTATTCAGGAAAATTAAAATCTATTAAAGAGAAATTTATTGATCTTAATTTTAAAATTTAAAATCTAACAGATACGTTTACAGCTTTGTTTTACTTTTTTACCTAAATTTAGTTCTTTTTTTAAATTGATTTTTAGTTTGCTTATTTTTTTAACCTGTTACACACAAACACATTTTTTGTATGTTTTAGTAGTATAAGCTATATTTTTATAATGCATAGACCAATATAAATAAAATATCTAGGATTACAAGCAATAAAAAACTAAGCAATTTTCATATAGAGCATTTACTATTCAGAGAGCATTTTTACATAATTATTATACTTTTAACATTATATTTATAAATGTTTTCGATCAATTCGACGTTTTTCAAAAATACAAAATAATATTTCAACTTGACATAATAAACAATTTTATTTACTTTTTCTTCTTGTCTACACAAAAAACAATATAACTTGTTAATTCAACACTTCAGCATTTTCTCAATCTCCATCAAGCTCTTTCCTTTAGTTTCCGGTACGAAAATCAACGAGAACACCGTTCCCAATACCATAACAACGCCAAACGTAAAGAAAGTCCCGCTCATCCCTATTGCTTCCACCATGTAGGGAAAACATGCCGTCACATTAAACGACAGACAGAAATTGGCCAAAGATGTTATAGTAGAGGCTACAGCTTTGACATTTGATGGAAACAGCTCACCCAAGATCACCCAGGGCAGGATACCCAATCCAAAGTTGAAAGCAAACATGTAGATGATCACGCCGATCATGGGTAGCCAGGAAACAGGTGAAACGTCCATTTTGGCGCTTAGCATGTAAAAGTAAACCGCCAGAGAAAACAGAGACAAGGCTGTAACTATGAAGGAAACTGTAATCAGGATTTTTCTGCCCATCGTATCTATGAGTCTGCTACTGATGAGGACGGAGATTAGGGAAACCGTCCCCACAATCATCGCGCAAATTTCCGATGACAGTTCACTTCCGGCAAGTTCGAAAATGGTCTGGGTGTAACTTCCTACCGCCTGGATACCGGAAAATTGCTGGAATACCATTAGAATGACGCAAATCAGCAATGCTCTTCTTAAGCCTTCGTTCCTGAACAAGTATCCAAATCCTTCATCGTTATTGGAAGAATGGATGGTACTAGAAATATAGTCTAGTTCTTTCTCGATCTTGGTTGTTCCACGGAACTTCATCAAACTTTGTCCAGCTTTTCGTTCTTGGTGTTTTAGAATGAGATCATAAGGACTGTCCGGAACAAACCACCCAAAAAGAATGTAGTACAGTCCCATCGGTAACAAAGATATTATGGTGAATGTCTTTATAGAAACATAAGGTCCAATAATGTATGGAATCAGGCTTCCACCAGTTGACATAACTCCAGCCAAAGTCCCCAAAAATCCCCTGTTTGAATCCTCGGCAATTTCGGCAATGTAGTTCGGTAGCACGCTCCAAACAGCCCCTGCAGCTACTCCCATCAAGAACCTGGCAATCAGGAAATACTGGACGGTAGAGGAGAAGAGGCATATGATCTGAGCCAGGACCAGTGGTAGTCCTACCAAAAGCAGGATGGATTTCTTGCAGAAGAATTTGGATAAGGTCATGGATAGGGAGGGTCCAAAAATGAGACCTAGGCTCATGGAGGAGACTATCCAGGCTGATTCGGAGAGGGTGAGCGGCTTGCCGATGGGGTTAACATGGTGGTTTGTTGAACTGAGCTTGGGGATGATGGGAGATGTCCAGGTGAAGCAGCTTCCGGTAACTACCACTATTAGGGTGGCTGTAATAGAAAAAGATAGCACTTCAAGCCAAATACTAAAGTTTATGAACAACTGAGTTTACGAATTAAAGTTGAGATATTTATATACCGGGTGTTTCTCAAAAGTGGCTCATCCCTATAACTTTTTTATTTTTTCAGATAAAATAACGAAATTTGTTACGTTAGTATATGACATAAATCAGGATTGATTTACGCATTCATTTGTTCTCAGTTTTCTTCCTGTTTTAGCGGAAATGACTACAATTTTTTATTTTTAACACCCTCAGTATTTTTTTACTTTATTTGATACTCTACAATAACACTCTGCATAGAATGACATATAATATGTCAACTTTTGATATTTTAAATTGTAACGTGCGGTTTATAACGACAATTTGACTCGAAATACCAAGTGTGTGGTATACAAAATTGTTCGTAAAAAATGCTTTTCCAAATATGCTAATGAGCCACCCTCGTTCCATTTGAAAAAATGATGAAGAGTGAGTTGACTGTTGAGTCTCGTGAGTTGTGAAAGATTAAAGATACACGAAAAATATTAGACGATCAAATCAGTTTTTCCAAAGCTCCTTGATTATAAATTGATGGTTTTTACACAGCTATTTATTGAAATTTAAAATACATTTTTTTAAATTGAAAATATCAAAAGTTGACATACGATATGTCATTCTATTCAGAATATCATTGTCAAAGTTGACATTTGTGTCATTCCATCCAAAGTTTTCTATCATCAGGAAGTGACCAAAAGTAATTGAATATGCCAATCAATCCCGATTTATGTCTTATATAATATAACAAATTTAGTTTTAATATCTTAAAAAATAAAAAAGTTATAGGGGTGAGCCGCTTTTGAGAAAAACAGGGTATAGTTTGCAAAAAAAAATCATGAAAATAGGGCTAAAAATAAAAAATATAACCCTTTAAATTTGACGAAAATTTTCTCCGTTGCGTTTTTTGCATCCGAATGTACTTAAAAATATAATAATTATAATAACTTACTAGATAGGACAGCGAAGTATATGTACCAATTTCTCTTATCCTGTTGATCGCCCATTTTCAGAAACATTCCAAAAAAAGCTGCGACACAACTTAAGACTTGGTACACGACAAAAATAGGATGTTATTTTGCTACATTTTTTTGTTAAACGCGAATTTTTATAGGAAAAACTTTATTTATCTAAGAGATTAATTAAAAAATATATGAATAAAGTACGGCCAGACGTTTGGACAGGTCTTATAGTACGACCTAAAAGCGATTTTCGTTTTCTAAGTATTAAACAAATAAGTAGGCTTGGGGATTAGTCTCCGTTTGATGTCTGGCTGCTCCTTTCTTGGTTGTTCAATACAAACATTAGGTTTTATTCTTTTTTAATATTTAATTTATATTTTAAAAGGATTAGAGCTTTTGGTGTGTTTGTTGTGTGATGCTAACTTATGTAACTGTCTGGATGTATCTCCGTTTACGTTTTTTTTTAAATATAGTAATAATCAGAATTGTTAAAGGTGTTGCAAGTGACTGGTGGTGAATTAAAAGGTTTAAAATGTGAGTACTGGTAAATTAAGATATTCATATAATTTCAAGTAATCTCAATCAAGTGGTTTTCAACTAATTTGAGAAGAAGAAGAATTTTTGGGAATTTATACTCTTCTTAATGTAATTAATTAATGTTTTTTTTTATACTTTAAATTATTTTTACTTAATTATTTTCTTGTATGTTAGCAGTTGGTAGTATCTGTGTATTCGTTGTCCCAAATACATATATTCATCTACTATTTCCAGTGTTCTGTTATTTATTAGACTGTATTTTCTGTCTACCATTTCGTTGTACAGGGTGTCCCATTTTGGTGGAAATCATACGGTATCTCCGTTATTAGTAAAGATAGAAGGATGCGGTTTGCACAATCCTACTTTTTTGCCAAACGGAAGATGCTGCAAACAAAATTTTCATAGCCCTATTCGTTTCTGAGCTACAGGGTCTTTTCGAAAATTTTGCAATTTGGGACACCCCCTGTATCTCTGTTATTGTTAAAATTATCAAGAAGATGAAAACTGTTTATTGTAGACTTTTTTACGTAGAATACAGAAGCTATGAAAATTTTGTTTACGACATCTTCCGTTTGACAAAAAAGTGGGACAGGTTTGTGAAAACCGCACCCTGCTACCTTCACTAATAACGGAGATACCGTATGATTTCAACTAAAATGGGACACCCTGTACACTACTTTAGTTTCTGCTAAATCCTAAGGCTAAATCCATTTTGAGACCTCCATTATTGCTGGCTGTATTTAGTTCACAAATTTGTGGTTGTAGTTCTTCAAGACTATTGATAATTAGGACTATGTCATCAGCGAATCTTAAATGGTTATAGGTTATAGATATTCTCCATCTATTTTCAATGCTTTGTTGGTTGTTGAAGATTTCTTCTAGTGTTGCTGGAAACAGCTTTGGAGATATTGTGTCTCCCTGTCGTACTCCTTTGCCAGTTGCGAATTCTGGGGTTGTTTTTTCGTCTTAGTGTTGAGTTGCTATAGGAATAGGCATGACTATTCCTTGTTTTATTAGGGCTTCTATTATTACCTTAGGATATATCGAGTTCAAAGCCTTCACGAATGATATAAAAAGGTTATCTCGAAGTCTATTTAGTATATTTTAAAATATGTAATAATATATTATAATATAAAAACTCCAGACAGAAAAATAATATATTTCTTTCAATTTCCGCTTAGTTGTATAAACGTATGTTTTTTTACGATAACACGAATTAAAAATTAAGTACGTGCTGAAATATGGACCATATTAATAAGCGTTTGGTCTGTTGGTGCATTCTTCAACCCGAAAAAATTTAAATATTTATTTAAAATACCGACGTAATGATAAAAAAAACGTATTACCATGTAATTAACTGTTTACACCTTTTCATCCCATAATCAGAGAACACGAGAGTATAAGACATGAGTAGGAATGTTTATGTTTAAAAAATTATCGATATGTTATTTTGAAAGATCATAAATCGCTGTCATTTTTTTGTAAAGTTATTTGGGGAATGTCATCGATCGTCATTTCTAAGCTAACTTGAAGCCGTTTTTTCGATCATATGGTTACTTATGTATACAATATATGTTTTGAGTCTATATTCTTTCTTAAATTACTTCTGGCGATGGGGAAATATATTGGTGGTTGAATGAAATATTTTTGAATTTTTAGCCGACCATACCAATAGGTATGGTAGGCTATTAGGATCGGTAAAAAAAAAGTTTTTTTAACTTCACTCAAAATGAGTTATTTGGGTCACCTAAATACAAAATATTTTCATGGTGTCTGTCTGTCTGTCCGTCTGTAACACGATAACTCAAAAATCGCTGTACCGATTTTAACCAAATTTGGCACAAAAATACTGTGGCACCCGAGAATCTGACCATTAGTTTTTGGTGGGGGTAGGGGGTTGTTAAGGGGGTATGGGAGGGGGTTAGAAATTTTAAAAAATCGTAACTCCAAAATTACAGTAGCTAGCGAAACGCGGTTTTCAAATTAAGATTAGGAATAATATTTGCAACAAAATTTGTAATAACATCAAAATCAGTTAAAGTCGCAGTTTTCGAGATATTAACATATTTTAGTATGGGCGGCTATACGTGCCTCCCGGCGCCAATTTTTTTTTGGTGATTTGGCAGTCAGGCAGCATGTAAAGGGTTCACGAAACCAAAGGTATCGTTGAGACTCGTTTGGGAATTTCTGGATAAACTTGAAACGCTGGTAGGTATAGAATGGATTAAATTATTGCCATTATGGAGTGCCAGAGCTATATTTATTTACTTACTACTATTACTAAAATCGATGGTTACGAAAGGCGTATTCTTTCATGAGCTTTTCTGTGACTGAAAAGCCCGATACTTGATGTTCAAAAATCGGACATTCAAAAATCTAATTATTTTGTTGCCTCTTTACTTTTTTACTTCTTCATTGCGTTCTGTTGTGTGCTGCTTCCTCCCACTGATTCTGCAGGCTTCATGCATCCGTTACGTTGATACTTGGTTGATACGTTGGTCCGACGGTGCTCTGATTAGTCATAGCATTTTCGCGCCACTTTTCATCCGTAAATATTTTACTTCAGCCCATCAACGGGCCCGTCCATACGATAACGGACGTTTTGACACTTTTTAATCTAACCTTAATAAAAATATAAGTAAAATAGCAAAATCGTTATGGAAACGAAAATATAAAATGACACCAACGTATATCCGATAAACGGAGGCATGAAAATACAATAAATTTTAAAACTGCGTTATTTTCTAACCAATCAAAGTCCTTAAATTCTACCAATAAAATTAATATCGTATCAACGTATCCTCGGACAACGGATCCATGAAAATCAAGCTTTATCTCCTTTAAGTTTTCATGGAAAATATTCTTGTACTTTTTGAGTTGTCCATCCGGTTTTCTCTTACCGTCTAAAGCTCACCGTAAAGAAGAGATTTTGTTAGGCGGTTTTCTTGCATCCTGCATACGTGACCTCTGACCAGTCCATCTTAAGCGTGATTTTGTAATCATGATTTCAGCGCTCTTGCATGATGGGGAATGATGAGGATGATGAGGATTATTATTGCTCGGTACACTGCAAGTTTCGTTTTTGTGCTCAACTCATGATTGCAGAAAACTCTGTCTTTTAATTTTCAGAATGCACTTGCTTTTAATTTCCAGAACGCCGTTGCGCTGCTAATTCTGTGCTGAATTTCAGAGTCGATATTGTCCTTTTCCGAAATCAAACTGCCGAGGTAATTGTATTCCGCTACATATTCCAATAGTTCTTCACCGATTTTTACAGCATTGTTATGATTTTCCGAGTGCACGTGATTTTAGTTTTATCGATGTTCAACTTAAGGCCCTGTATCTTGTTCAAGCCGCTCTTCGTGAATGAACACTTGCTTGAAGAAACCTACAAGATATTCTTTCAATCGCCACAGGACATCGAATTTTAACTCAGATTGTAAGAAATAGGCTGCATGAGTTAACATTCTATCAAGGCGAGCAGCTGTTGTGCCGCATTTAACTGCTAATCATCGTAGGACACAAAAGATATTTGCTCAAGAACGTCTTCACAGGGGCGTGGATCAGTGGATGCATGTAATTTTTACCGACGAGTCCCGATTTCGACAAAGGCATAATGATGCCCGGCGGAGAGTATCCAGAAGACCGAATGAACGGTATCTGGACACAACAGTCAGAGAAGCGATTCATTTTGGTGGAAGTTCCTTCATGGTATGGGGAGGTATAACTTTAAATGGACGTACGGACTTGCATGTGTTTCTAGACGGCATAATTAATGCTGAACGATACAGAGATGTAATTCTTGAACCATATGTTATTCCATTTGCTGCTCAGCATGGTCCAGAATTTATCTTACAACAGGATAATGCCTCATACTGCAAGAGTAGTTACTCCATACCTTGAAGAGTCCAATATCACAATTATGAACTGGCCTGCTAATAGCTCTGATCTCAATCTTATTGAGTACCTTTGGAACCTACTAAAGAGAAGACTACAAAGTCATCCACAAGCACCAGATATTCAAACTTTCGGAGAAAATCTTCAAGAGGAATGGAATGCATTTTCCCAAGAGATTATTCGGAACCTCATTCAGTCTATGGCAAATCGGTGTGCAGAAGTGCGTAGAAACCACGGAGGACACAAACATTATTAGAAATAAGATTATTTTCTTTGACAATTAAGAGTCTATTACGCTGTACTTTCGGGTCGCTCTCAGGGGTTGGGTGAAGCGGGTGTGTGGCCGAAGGAAATATATATTATATTTCAGAAATCTGCCTAAGGCGTAGCCCGATCCTGTCGAGTTAAGCCACATCTAAAATTCCATACACACGTGCTTTGATTAAGGCTTGATTAAGATTTGCAGAGCTTCAGCATTTGCCATAAAATGGTGAGTAATTTGTTACAAAACCATTCAAATTATATATCACTGTAATCACAAAATTTCAATCTATTTCCGTATTGTAACGGAATTTTAAATTATGTCTTTATTTTCGAGAACATTTGGTCCAAACATACGGAATATTTTGTTATGTTTGACCATCAAA